AAAAAAAAATTTAAAAAAAAAAAAAAAAAAAAAAAAAAGACAACGAGTTCATCTAAAAGTATTATGTAGAGTAAGGAAGGCAATGCTGAGTGTATCAGTTCGCACCTGGAGGTCTCAGCCCCTTTGGGAGTCACATATCAGATATCCTGCATATAAGACATTTACATTATGATCCATAAAAGGAAAATTACAGTTATGAAGTAATTTTGTGATTTGGGTCATCACAACATGCGGAACTGTGTGAAAGGGTCGGAGCATTAGGAAGTTGTGGACTTCTGGCTTAGCACATCAGCTGTTGGAAATGGGGTCTCCCTGTGTCTCTGATGCTAGCAGAGTTAGTTTTTGCTTCCTTACTGAAACCAGTGATGGGGTAGGTAGGAGGTAATCCTTAATGGGTTTCCCTGTTCCTCTTCTTCCAGAAGCCTCTCCTGTTTCCTCTTTTATTATGTAGCTCTCAAACTCATCGTCCTCAGCTTCCTACATCCCAGGCATGTGCTACCACATCAGCGTTTTGGGCTCTTAGATTTTTCGAACCGTACCGGTTCCTGACAGTTTGAGGTGCTGGTCCTGATTTTCAGAAACTCTGGGTCATAGGTCTGGTTTTCCCAGATGTTGCTTACTACGTCTTTTGCTCACACAGACAGAGTCAGCCAGAACTCCCCGCTGAGCCACAGCTGTCAGGAGAAGAGTCCAGTTCTGAAGATGATTCTGACCTCTTTGTCAACACCAATCACAGACAGTATCATGAGAGTGACGAGGAGAGTGACGAGGAGGAGGAAGAAGAGGCAGCCTGAGCCTAGGACTCACTTCTCTACTTGCTCAGGGACTACCCCTTGGCTTATCAGGGCTTGGACATTCCCAGGCTGCCCTGCAAGCCTTTTCTTTTGGATGGGGACAGGGCATGGCCCCTTTCTGAACTGACCTAAAAGAATTAAACCCCTGGTGGGTAATGACTTAACACTGGTGTCCGAGTGGCTCTGTGTTAGGGAAGCTTGTAGTGAAGCCCTCTTTCTCGGTGGAGGCCTTGGTCACCTGTGGGTAGAATGGGAAGGAACTGGGGTTTGGCTGGAATCTACACCATGTGACTTGTTCATAGCACCTCTCTGGGCACTGGTTACCTCACCCTGTGCTGTGCCTCCTTAACTAACAGCAGTCATTACCTGCTTACACTCAGTGGTGATCCAATAGTTAAGGTTGCGGCCTAGGGCTCAGGCTGAGGACAAATCCCATGGTGCCTTGTGAGCTGCTTCCCTTCCTTCCTAGTTACCCTTACTGTAGCACTGCTTACTGTCTGCTGCCATGTAAATGACAGCCGTGCACTTCTCTCCCTCGGCCACCTGTCATCTCCAAACGTGTCTGGTCAGGGTACCTCTGTCCCTACCATGTCCTTGATTTTCAGAGTTTTGCTAATCTCCTGAGGCTATTAATTTTCCTATAGTCTTTCTTGAGATGGTCTCTATAACCCAGGCTTGCTTGGGAATCATTGTGTAGCTTGGGCTCACCCACTCAATGGCTGTCCTGCCTCAATCTCCAAGAGCTGGGATTACGAGTATGAGCCACTATCCCTGGCTGTTGTAGCATCCCCATTCCTTGTACCACAGCATCAAAAGGCCTATTGTGTCTCATTCCTTTGCTCACAGCGGCCTCCCTTCATGTACTCATTTTAGAGTAGATCTGTTACTTCAGCTAGAAGACCCTTCAGTGGTCCAGGCACTCGGCAAACTGCAAGCTGCCTCTTGGGAGGCTTTTTTTCAGGGGAGGGGGGTTTCAAGACAGGGTTTCTCTGTGGTTTTGGAGCCTGTCCTGGAACTAGCTCTTGTAGACCAGGCTGGTCTCGAACTCACAGAGATTAAAGGCGTGCACCACCACCGCCAGGCTCCAACAGGAAATCTTATGATCACGTCCTCCCCAACTCTCATCTGTCTGTTCTTGTTCTTCGTGTTTTTTATTTATTATGTATACAGTATTCTACCTGTGTGTATGCCTGCAGCCCAGAAGAGGGCACCAGACCTCATTACAGATGGTTGTGAGCCACCATGTGGTGGCTGGAATTGAACTCAGAACCTTTGGAAGAGCAGGCAATGTTCTTAACCACTGAGCCATCTTTCCAGCCCCTTCGTGTTTGTTTTTTATGATACTAAGTATCCTTGAGTATACATATGTATAAAATATAGATGTATATATATGGAAAAATAGACCAGGTGGGTTAAAGCTAAAGATAAATTTACCTTAACTTCTCTGAACTTGTTTGTTTTTTCAAGACAGGGTTTCTCTGCAGCTTTGGAGCCTGTCCTGGAACTAGCTCTTGTAGGCATATATATGTAATTTAAATTTTAAAAACCATAATTCAAGCAACTCTGAGTTGTGTACATTTTGCTTTCTGAGTGTCTCTTAACCCTTATGCTTAAGATCTACATTTAAAATATCTTTTAATAAACTCTCTTTGCGGGGAGCTGAGAACTTGCTCAGCAGTTCCAAGCATTATCTACTCTTCCATAGAACCAGGGTTTCCATCCTCAGCAACAGTGTGGCAGCTCACAATCATCTCTAACTCCAGTTCCAGTGGATCAACCCCTCTTCTGGCTTCTGCAGCCACCAGGCAAGAAATGTGGTAAACAGACACACACATGCGAGACACCCATCCCCATATAAAACATAATAAAAACCCTCAATTCAAAAAAAAGGAAGAAAAACTGTTAACAGAAAATAGAACAAATAGAAACTATTAGTTCGCATAGAAAGTGTTCAAGCAGAAAATATATTCTGTGGGTCATTTTAGGTCACAAAGACATTTCCGGGGTCAGAGAACTAATCTGTTCCCTTTCAGAGTCCACCCCCAACTATTGTGGTGACTATTTTTCAAGACAGGTTTCTATGTAGCCCTGGCTGTCCTGGTGAACTCACTCTGTAGACCAGGTTAGCCTCGAACCCACCGAGATCCACTTGCCTCTGCCTCAAGTGCTGGGATTAAAGGCTGCACTACTACTACCCAGCCTGTTCTGACTCCTAATAGAAATTAAATTTGCCCATTACATTGTAGATTGGAAGCAGGCACAATTCCACATCTGGTTACCTTCCATATGCATGAGATGCACACATTCTTCATTCTGTCACAGAAATAACTATTTACCCATCTGTCAATGGCCGTGGATTATAGCATTGTTAGGTACATCCTTGTGCACTTTCTGTTGCTAAGCCAACATGTTTTTAGTTTAAAATGGAAATTTTCAAAATATCCAGAAACAGCAAAAAAACAGCCTCTCACGCTTGCCACAGCCCTACGCATTGTCAATTTATCAGTCATGCCTCATGACTGCTCCTTCTGGTTTTTATTTATGCTGGGGTAATGTCATTGTCACATCCATCTATTGGTGTATATTACAGTAATCTCTCTAACAGGTGGGCCAAAGCAGTAGGCAGAGCACCAGGCTGGAAGATGACCTCGGGACCTCAGAAGGATGCAGGCACAGCTTGAAGGGACAAGGGCTCCAGACCAAGGAGCAAAGGTACAACTGGCACTGGACTTCTGGCCTGTGGCCTGGGTTCCTGTCACCATACCCTGAGGGCCAAGATGTACCTATGAAGTGTATCTGGATGGGGACACCCCTGCCTTCCCATGACATACCATGTTCGAAGAGGCCTAGAGAGGTGACATGGCTTCTCAATGAAGCCTGAGCAGGATTCAGAGATCATGCCTCCCTCTGCAGCTCAGAGCCCGAGACTCAGTAACTTCAGCTAAGTCACACAGCAGTAAACTGTGAAACTCAGAAGCCAAATCCAGTCCCTTGATGCTAGTGTCCTCCCCCCAGGTGACAGGAGGTGGCATCTCTGCCCTGCCAGGAAGGGTAGGTAGTGCTGGGCACCCTAAAAACTATAACCAGGGAAATTACAGGGTAGTGGCTGGTCCAGCCCTAGCAACACCCATGTGACCAAGTCTCTACAAGTAACAACCACTTGGGATGACGAAGTCAACTCAGCCAAGGTGTAACAGGGACCGCACCATTAGGTGGAGGGACTTCTGTTCCCGCTGAGTCAGCTCCCACAGAAGAATGTCCTTTGAGGGCAGGGGCTGGTTTCCCTTGTCACCTCTGCTACTTACTAGATTTCAAGTCACACAGTAAGGACCTGCCCCATCTTGCTCCTCTATAATCAGTGAGACTGCACTCACTGCAGGCTCATGTGGGAAGCAGGCATTCCCATTGTTCAAATGTCACTACTGAGGCTAACGGGGGCTCAGGAACTCGCCAGGTCACAGAACCAGCCATGACCTGAGGCACAGCCTGTCTTGCTTCCTAGGTTTGATCTTAGACTGAGCATGACCAGGAAGGAAAAAATAAGGAGGGGACTTTATTTAACATATCTGGGAGGGGAAGGGAGGAAGGTGGCTTCATTTGGTGATGGTGTTCCTGCAGGGGGAAGAGAGCAAAGGGGTGTGAGACTGGAGAGAAGGTACGCAGTGCCCCCCGCCCCCCCCCCCCCGGCCCTCTACTCACGCATTCATGCTCTTGCCACTGCCACTGAGCACGATGTATGGTGTCTTCTGGGCCTTCTGCTTCTCCTGGAGCAGTGCCACAGTGCCCAGGGGCGTATCACTGGAGCTCATCTTTTTCAGGAGCTGCGGAGCCAGAGTAAAGTCAGCACAGGGGTGCAGACAGAATATCCTACAGCACCCAAAATGCAGAGCCCCCCACCTCCAGAGACCCACCGCCTCCTCATCCAGCTTCTTCATCCGCCGCTCAGTCTTCATCTTGCCTGAACCCTTCCCGTGGAAGCGGTGGGACAGTTGCCGGAAGGCCTGGGGATACAAAACACACAGGAACATCAGAAACGCCAGGACACCAGAGACACTCGCATCCACTGGGAGCTTCGCAACAGCAACTGGGAGTGCTGATTTCCCCAACCCAGGATTAGGCTCAAGTGTTAGGAAGAGAAGAGATGGGACAAGGACCTAGATCTGGGCATCATACATGGGTTGTGTGCAACCCGGGTGCTAGGAATATAGGATGAGACCTGCCTCTGGGAGCTGGGGCTGAGCCCAGCAAATGTGGAGCTAACATACATGATAGGGATGGGAGTCAGAAGCCTGGATACGGCCCCAAGGATGAATACCCTCAGGCTGGGGGCTTTGGGTACAACAGGCAGCATGGGTGTCAAATCTTCCCGAGAGCTGTGGAAACGGCTGTGCTGTGCCCACCAAAGTTAGCAATAGAAGCAAGGTTCTATCACATCACAAGGTCCCCAACTGGTAGGCAGTCAGGCCCCTGGAATGTTTTTGCTCTTTCACTCTTTGGGCTTTGGGGGAGCCTACAATTCAGCTCCCAAATAAATCACACCCAGAGGCTTCTTCTTTTTCTGGTCTTGAACTCACAGAGATCCACCTGCCTCCGCCTCCCAAGTGCTGGAATTAAAGGTGTCTGTCGCCACCACCACCCGGCCAGAGGCTTATTCTTAGTTATGAATGCCCAGCCTTAGCTTGGCTTGTTTCTTGCCAGTTTTTCTTAAATTATCCCATCTACTTTGGCCTTTGGGCTTTTATCTTTCTCTATTCCTGTATACCTTTTTTTCCTTCTTACTCTGTATTGGGCTGTGTAGCTAGATGGCTGACCCCTGAAGTCCTCCTTCCTTTCTCGTTCCCAAATCCCTTTCTCTCAGATTTCACCTCATATTTATCCTGTGTGCCTACCAGCCCTCTCTCCTGCCTCGCTATGGGCCTCAGCTCTTTATTAGAGCATTGAGTGTTTTTTAGGCAAAGTACCACAGAGTTAAACAAATGCAACAGAAACAAGAGTAACACACCTTAAAACAATATTCCCCAACACTGGAGTGTTGCCCTGCCTTGCTGGGGGTGAGGGTGTTTTTGGCTCCATCCTGACCTAGTCACCCTTGACCTGGCCCTGTCTTCACGGCACCCTGCTCACCTCCTTGGGAGTCAGTTTCCTGCCCGTCTCGTCCACGTACTCAATCTTAACATCAGGCTTGTAGCCGTCCTTCTCCTTGAAGTCCTGGGTGAAGCCCCTGTATTCCTCCCGCCGGCTGTACTTATCATCGATGGCCCTAGACCCAGGCAGAGGGGTGCAATGTGAGCTGCCTGCTGTCTACTGCGTGTTCAGAGCAGCCCAGCTTCGTGTCACAGGCATGCTCACATCTGCCCCGCTTCCTGCCCTCACTGCCACTCACATCTTATCCTCGATGCAGTACACGGCTGAGGGCAGTGACTTATTGGGAGCCTTCACCCGGGCCACCTTTTGCACTGTGGTCTCCAGAAGCCCTGAGGACAGAGAAGTTGTGATACCCAGGAGGCCTACGCCTCAGGCAGACATAGCCAAGACAGCCTGAGTAAAGCAGGCCCCAGGGCTCCAGCTCACATGAGTGCTAACATCTCTCAGAGCCTTGCTCAGCATGTGAACATGTCACGTCTGGTTTACAGACTAAGAAAACAGACGTGAGAGACCATCACCTCCCCAAGGAGACTGCAAAGCTGGGGTCTAGACCCTAGGGTATTGTCTAGCCCAGCGCACTTCTTCAAGGATCAGAGCCTTTAAGGCACAGAAGAGGAACAGGTGGTCCTACCCTGGACCACAGGCAAACCGAGGCTCAGGAGCTGGAGAGCTACTCAAAGCACTGAGTCTGAGAGGAAGAGGTAGCAGTGCAGACCCAAGGACGTCATGCTGCAGCCATAGGCACCCACCCAGCCCTTCCCTACCACAGCACCCGACTGCCAAGGCTCCTAGCCTGAACCCACACCTTTGTTCTGACACAAGAGCAGGGCAGCAGCCAGCCCTCTGTTCACGATGGGTTCCTCATCCAGGATGGTGGTAGAAGAGGCAGAGAACTAGAGAGAGAGGAGAAATGTGGGGTAGAGGAACAGCCACCCCAACCAGGCCAGGCTATGACACCCGTTTTAACGGATTCCCCAGCTGGCTCTTGGAGGTTTAGTGCCCTCCCCACAGGGGTGGAAGCTCTGGGACACTGGACAATGAGCCCGGGTTCCCACACCCACGCCCCATCAGTGCTCACATCCTGTTGCTGCTTCTCCTCATCGAGGTTGACGGTGCTCCAGCCGATGTTCTCTTCCCCATCTGATTCAGAGCCACCATTGGCCGAGCGCTCTTCATCCCTTTCGAAGTCCTGGGACCAGAAGTTAGGGTCAGGAAGTTAGGGCAGCCCTAGCCCTCTCCTGCGACCTTTGAGCATTGGAGCAGAAGCTACCACTTTAAAGACACCAGGCCAGGGGAACAGCGGGACCAACCATGAGCTCCTCCTGCTCTTCCCGGTTGCCAGCCAACCCATAGGTGGGGATCTCCCCTAGCGTGCGGCAGAATTCAGAAGTGGCATTGAACACGATGGCCCCCTTCCGCTCAGGGTCCTCTTCCTCCTCCCAGCCGCGCTGGCGAGACTCCAACTTCTTCACAATCTCCACCACCTGGGGGAGGGAGTGGCTGTGGGCAGACCCCAAGTTTCTGGGGTGATACCACAGAGACTCGAGCCCACAGATCCTCCCTGGTGGCAATAACCCAGCTATTTCACACACACAATGGATCTTCTAACAGGGCTCCATGTCCCCTCTGGTTTCTGCAGCCTCACTCTGTGCAAACGCAGCAATGGTTCCCTACTACCTATGGAATCTACCACACTGGAGTTACCAATGAAATCAAGAAACCTGGTCCTAACCAGATGTTATAAACACAAGAGACTCCTGAGGGAATGTGGGTGGCATGCTCACAGGGAAAGGCCCCAAACCACACATCAGCTTCCATGCTCAGCCTCACCTTCTCGCCGCTGTCTCGAAGCTGCTGGAGTTGCTGCAGTTGCCGCAGACGCCGCCCCTTTTCCAGCTGCTTCTGCAGCTCCAGCTCTGCTTCATCTTCTTCCAGCACCTCTGGGGACCCTGACGGAAGAGCTCCCCCATCCTCTGGTGGAAACATGAAGGACACCTGCTCACACCACCTCCTTGGCCCACAGACCCACCCCACTCCCTGCTAGCCAAACCCGAACCTTCATCACTGATATCCATGTTCTCTACTCTAGTATCATCTGATGGTGGGGGCCGGGCCACAGGGTCCTTCTCTTCATCCTCCAGGGCCTCCTCCTCCACCTCAGGAACCCGACGCCGACCCCGGCCCCGAAGCCTAGGAGAACGGCACAGTTCAGTGAATGGCGTTCCCTAGGCTGGCCCAGCCCTCATACCCGCCACTGTGCAGAAGCACACCTGGATCCAAAGTCCCCATCCTGAGTCTGGTCCCCGAGAGGCAGTAAGTCATCCGCCCGCATTACAACTTCCTTCTCCTTCTTTCGGATTTTCTTCACCCTCCGCTTGGTCTTTTTGAAGGTCACCTTCAGAGAGGAGCACAGAGTAGTGGGATGGAGTCCTGGACACCACTACCTCCATTTTCCTATGACTCCTCACAGCAAGCCTCCAAAGATGGCTGCTTGGCATCATCAGTCCACATGGGTGCCCAGGCTGTGAAGTGACTCACGCAAGGAACAAGCTGCTTTGGGGACAGAACTGGAACATAAACACAGGCCCACTGGTTCAGTGGTCCCTATTCATCAACACTAGCACTTCCGTGGGCTGCCATTCACTGCTCACCAGGAACCAAGTGCTATGCCAACACTTAGTTTCCCTCCCAAGCTCACGTTGGCAGTGTGTGACGAGAGGAGAGAGAGACTCACCATCTCTTCAGGACTGAGATACTCAGAGGCAAGCCGGGGCCCTACAGAACTCAGAGACTGAGCCTGCAGCCGTAACTTAGCCCGGATCTCTTCCAGCTCGCGCTCCCTCAGTCCATCAGCCATGCCACCCTGCTCCAAACGGAAGGAATGTGGCCGCTCGCCCTCCAGCTCCTCATCATATTTGGCCAGGATAGAGCGGGGCTTTTGCTGCAAGACAAGAGGGTGGCTGGGACCTAGGGCAACTCTTGAGAAGTCATGCAATTGTGGCTTTCTTAGCACCACACACCATCCGCCCCAGCTTCTGCCCCACAGGCAAACCTGTGCCAAATCATCCACACTCTCATCTTCTGCATAGGGCAGGTAGTCGGGCTTCTTCTTCCGCAGCTCCACATTCTTGTCTGCCCGCTCCTTGTCCACCATGTTCACGTTCACCAGCACGTCCTCTCCCTCCTGCAGGACTCCTGAAACAGCACAGAAGGCACAGTTCCTACCGCCCCAGCTTAACAGTGCCCACACCCCAGATGGAGTAACCAGCTCAGCTCACCTTTGTCCTTTAAGGTGAGGACCACAGTCTCTCCTTCTCGAAAGGAATCGATAGCATGTTCCACAGTGAGGCCCTGCAAATCCCGGGCACTATACAAGTCCTACAGGCAAAGAACCAACCAAGTCAAAAGCCAGAAGCCATCCAACCCTGGGATGCCCACATCAAGGCCAGCATCCACCAGAAAGTCTCTGGATGCTGCAGCTTCACCTGTCGCCTCTGCTCAAACTCCTCCTCCACTAGAGTGCTCACACCAAACTCTTGGTCCATCTCCTCCAGTAGCTTGGCCTGTGGGGAAAGGAAGGATGACCAGGAACCTCAACTCAGTGACCAAAAGGCACCCAGGACCCTAGCAAGCTGCTGCACAGAAGGACAGGCTTTGCAGTGAAACTGGAGAACCCAAGTCCCTGAGCACAGCCCACCCCTGGCCACTCCCCCACACCGCCAGGGGTTCTCACCCGCTTCTCTGCCAGGTCCTTCTCCTTCTGCAGCTGCCGGCTCCTCTCGATCCAGGCTGCAGTGTCATCCAGCCAGGGGTCATCCTCCCCGAGAGTCTTTATTTTCCTGAGGAGGGAGGACACTTAGGATGGAACCCAAACGTGTTCTCCCAGTCTGACCCAGGGGCAAGGAAGCAAAGAGTCTTCCTGCTTGGCCAGAAAACCCTCACCCCAATTTTTGGTTCAGCAACCGCTTTTCCTTGGCAGCTGCCAGCTTCTCCCGTAGTTCTTCACGCTGTCGCAAGGCCATGGGGTTGATGACATCAGCTGCCACGGGCTCCTCCTTGGTGCCCGCCTCTGGAAGGGGGGCCCAGACGTGAGGCTATGCTTGCCCATGGCTGGTGGGGAGAGGAGGGAGCCACTCACCCTGCCCCTTCCAGCCCAGGGGCCAGAAGGGGCCAAGAGAGGGGAAGAACTTTCACCTCCCTATTCTTATCTCACCCTTTGTCCCCCTCTGTCACTCCACATAGTGTGACAGGAACCTCTCCTCTATGCCTTCCAAAGCTGTTCAGATCACATGGGCTTTTCCTGTCAGTTTGGTTTTTGGTGAGCATGCTTATTTTTATAAAAGCAAACCAACACCACTTAGACAGCCTACAGCAACTATGCATGTCCCTCAGCCTGCCTAAAGCCAGGGTGAAGAAAAACATACTCAGATTCCCCACTAAGACACAAAGGACAAGTCTTGGCCCTCTGACAAAACATACGTAAGGCTACTAAATGGAGTTGCCTCTGCATGCTAAGCCCCACTTTCTTCCCACTTAGATGCCCCAGTTCAGCCCGACACTCACCTTTCTTGACAGCATTGACCTCCAAGGGTTTCAGCCCCAACTTTGCACGGAGTTTACTGAAGACAAGAGACAGAAGTATTAGGGTCTACCTGAGAAATGGGTAGCAAGTGCATTTATGGATAGGCAAGAGGTGAAAACAAGGCGAGAATGAGTGTCCCTAGGGAGACAAGCAGAGGCCCCAATCCCAGCAGCCTAGGGCATGAAGACACAGGCTTCCAGATTAGGGACCGCCTAATTGGGGAAGGCCCTCCTTCCTCTTGGGTCTCAGTTTCCTCCACAGTAGCTCCTACGCTGGCTAACAGACTCATGCGGCTACCCCAACTCTATTCTAACTGGCTCCATTTGCAGTGCAAGGGTTTCTGTAGGTGACGGTGCCGGGTGTACCCGCTCTCAAAGGAAAACCAGACAGCACACGGGCTACTTACTTGGTCTCCTCGATGCTAAGTGATGAGGCATCTCCAGAGCTAGTTTTGGAGCTGGCAGCTAGAACAATAAGGAGGATGGCTTAAGGGACCCATGAACATGGGACCAAGAAGCAACACTGTGGGCTCCAGCTGCAAGGTCGAAGACAAGGGCCCTTCACCAGCACCTGGGTAGATGACACCAGAAAACAGCAGCCTTCTTTCCCCAGATCCCCAGCAGCTGCTACCCTGTCTAGCAACACTGCCTCTTCCCTTTCTTTCTGACCCAAGTGGTTCAACCCTCTGCATCCTTCACTGCCCCTCCAAACCTCTGTACTCTACCTTCAGCCTCCACTGTCCCCTCTGCTCTTGTTCTCAGGAAATTCTATCAAAAGATCAAGCATCATCTCCATGAAGCCGTGTTCAATTACTGACAGAATGAGAACTCCGCCTTGAACTGCACAACTCTCTCTGCTCACAGAAGCGTGTGCAGTCAAGGAATACTGACTAGGGTGCCTTCCAGGTCAAATGTTGCAGACACAGGTAAATAAGCCCTCTGGATTTGCTCTACCACCCCACCAACAGGAGGGAACTTCAACAACCATCACACAGGGGAAGATGCCACCAGGACATCCAAGTCCCCTACCCCTCACTACCTGCAGCCCATCTCCTGTTCTTTAAACCTAACAGGGCCTTCCTCCTCCACCTAGGCTCCGGATCCCATATTCTATATGGACTCGGGAAGTCCCAAATCTCCCTTTTTTCAATTAGATTATTTTCAAAAAGTTTCAATTTGGGGCTAGAGAGATGGCTCACTGGATAACAGTACTTGAGGTTCTTACAGAGGATCCAGGTCTGGTTCCCAGAATTTATATGGCAGTTCACAACCTAACTCAGTTCAGGGGACCTAATGCCCTCTTGTGACCTCCATAAGCACCAAGTATGCACGAGGTACAGATCCACACATGATGGTTTAAAAGGTTTTTGTTTAATGCCCTGTGGTGTGTGGCGCTGTTAATCACTCAATCTTTTCAGCAATTATCTCTTTGCACAGGTCCTATGACCCAGCTTAGTTTTCCTCCCATTTGGCTACTCTTAATTTTTAAGTATGATCCTTTCCCCACAACTGAGCTACTGGTATTTATCAAGTCCTATTTCTGACCCTAGTTCCCCCTCCACACATTCAAGGGCACTTCTTTGCTTTCCTGAATACACTCTGGTCCAAATTCATTCTATCCCGCTTCAACTGTAGGTTTTCCCATGCGCACCAACCACAAAGCTCTCCGCTAACCTTCTAAATGCAATTTCAACAGACCACCACAATTCAGCAGGCCGATGAGGTCAAAACTCAAGGGGATGTTCCCTAATCCTCATCCCTCCCATCCTCGGTCCAGGCACTAAATTTAGTTCATTCCACGTCCTAAACACCTATATCAATCTGTCCACTCCTCTCCACCCCGCAGCATGGAGAAACATGCATACTCACTATAATCCTCACCTGACCTGACTGGGCTGACCTCCCTCATCTCTCGGTCTCTACTATTTCTGACAAGCTTTCAGTTCAGTGATCCTCTTAATCAAATAAAGTAAATCAACTCACTTCCCTACTCAAACCCTCGGCTCCCTGCCATCTTCACAAAGCGCAAATTTCTCAACAGTGTTTACAGCATAGGGTCCCTGGTGTTCAGACCCAGACATATCTTACTGCTTCATGACGCTACCACGAGCCCAACACATTCGCCCACGGTCAGGTTTCCCTTGCCGCTGTGCATGCTCGTACCTCATGCACCCACCCAACACAGAAGACACAAATCTTCACGAAGCTTAACATGGGGAGTCAGTCTTTAATCCCCAACACCCAGAGGGAGTCTTTAGCACGAAAGGCAGAAGGCCCTCGGGATCACCCTGCACCCTCCGTCCCGCGCACCCTAAGACCCTGCCCCGCCCCCGCCCCGCCCTCACCGGCCTCGTAGCCGTCATCGCGTTTCTCCCGCTTCACGCGCCGCTCCGAGGGCTCCGCTTGACTTCGTTCGCGACCGTGGGCGCCGCCGCGGGCCTCGGCTTCGGCCCCGCGCCTCCCGCTCCCGCGCTCGCCCCCACGCTCGCGGCTCCGCTTCCGTCGTTCGCCGCCGCTGCTGCCGCCGCCGCTGCTCCGGTGCTTGTGTTTCTTATGCTCTCGATGCCGTGGCGGCTGCTCGGTGGCGCTCCCGGTACCGGCCGCCGCCGTCGTGCCGGCCGCCTCCTTCTCTCCGCGGTGCTTCTTTGACGACCCCATGATTGGCGCGTCGGTCTGGAGCCGGGCCGCCACCCGAGCCCAGGCGACGCAAAATGGGAATACTTCCGGGTCGCGCGGCTACCGCCGACCTGTTGCCGGAAACTAAGAGCGGCTGCTTCCGGGGCCCGCCTGGGAACCTCCTAAGACGGCGCGTTCCCGGCTGCCAGGTATTGGTCTCTGCGCATGTGCACTTGTCGAGGCTCCGGAACCGCTTCCTCTCTGTCGTGCTACCCCCGTGTTGCTCTGTACCTCTGTCTCCGTGGGCCGCCCCTCTCCAGGATTGTCCTTCTAGTAGGCTTCGGGGCCGAGGTTGCATCCGGTGCTGGAAGATACCTCATGTTATCTTCATAAATGAACCAGCTCCGAAGGCCCAGCCTTGCAACCCCAATAAACTAGTATTGCCAGCGAGCACTGCTGTCGTCCTCCGTTCCCTGGATTGCTGGTGGATTGGGCCTTTTTAACCTGCTCTCTGGACTGCTAAGGAACGCTCTATGAATTTGTACCTGTGAACCCCACGAAACTGAGTGGGGGTTTTTTTGTTGTTTTGTTTCTAGTTTTTATTTTTCGTTTTTAAAGATTTATTATGTACACCGTGTTCTGTCTGCATGTTTGCCTTCAGGCCAGAAGAGGGCACCAGATCTCATTATAGATGGCCTTCTCCCGGCCCATTTTTCTTTCTTTTTAAGATAGGGTCTGTATAGCTCTGATTGGCCTGGTGGCTGGTCTCGAACCCACCACAGTCCCTCTGTTTCAGCCTCCCTTGTGCTGAGAGTCGCTGGGATTTCAGGCGTGCACGCCCACACCGAGCTCGAGTGCAAGTTTAGCACATCCATATTTTTTTAAGGCTGTCCAGTTAACTATGGCCCCAGTCTAGGATTATAAGCGCAAGCCACCATGTCTTGCTTTCCCGCCTTTTCTCTCATCCTGGGTTTTTGGTTTGGTTTGGTTGCTTTGTTTTGGTCTTGAGGAGGACTTTAAAGAAGTCCTCCTTCAGATAGTAGTTGCTCCTCTGGGGGCTTCCTGTATCGCACATCTCGGCATGTTTTGGTGTGGTCTGTGTGCCCCTTTAAAGCTCTGTGCCTAGCCAGGCAGTGGTGGCGCACTCCTTTAATCCCAGCACTCCAGAGGCAGGCGGATCTCTGTGAGTTCAAGGCCAACCTGGTCTACAAGAGCTAGTTCCGGAGAGGCTCCTCGGAAAACAAAGACATAAATAAGCAAGCAAGCTTCACTCCAAGACTATCTCAGAGAACAAAAAGATATCAATAAATAAAGCTCCAAGACCGGGCGTCCTCAGAGGCAGGGTCCTGTTCACTAGGATTTCTAGTCCCCAGGTATATGTGTGTTGGAGAAAGCATGGGAAAGTCTCACCGATTCCTTTCCAGGTGTCCCACTGCTCAGTAGCAAAGACACCGCATGTGTTTGCTGAGGAACGGGGTGCAGCCAGGGTTCCCAACGGATGTGGGAAATAGCTAAGACGAGGCCACCCACTTGCCACTACCTCTCCCCCAGTGCATAGCCAACTTTCCTCAGAAATCTCACACCGTACTCGCCATAAAGCATTTAATTTTTATCGCAGGGACTGTGTTCTGGGCCCAGGGTCGGGGAGGGAAGCCTTCCAGGCGGGCTGCTGGTGGGTTCTGTCTTTGGGGGGCTCTGAGAAGAGGAATCCATTTCTACTCCAAATGACCGGTGGCTCCTTAAAGACACAGATGGAGATCAATGGGCTCCACAGCGCCCTACCCCATGCTCAGTGCAGTCTTTCACCCCATGCGTCCAAATCTAACTCCTCTGCTTGGTGGCTGTGAGTCTCTGGGAAGTGACATCCCTCCTGCAGTCACGGGGTTGTTTTGGACTGTTTTATGTTTTACAGTAAACTAAGTCTTAAAATCCCGGCTCTATACCATATTATTTATTCTAAGGTGTCAGGGGCAGTATCGGGTGACAGTTGGCACCAGCTGCTTGGCGTCTTCTTGCTCAGGGTTGCAGACTAGCTTTTAGACTCATTTGTTCCTGTGTCCTGAGTAAGGCCTACTCTGGTCTCATTGGGAGGTGGGAACAATAACCTCAGCCCCCCTTCCGGGTGACATGGAGAACACTAGGAGGACCAGCGGCTGGCGTGGCTGCCCTGTCCTGCCTCACCTGTGTTTCCGGGAGAGGCCCTGCACGTTGCCTGCCTCTGCCAGCAGCTGTTCCTCGTCTACTCCCAATGCTGACAGTACCTGGGAGAAGCGCCGATTCACTGTGAGTCTGGCGTTGGTCTGACAAGAGAAAAGAAAGGTTCCTCTTCTTCACCAAGGCTGCTGGGGCCACTGTGGGGCTCTGATCATTAAGAAGGGGGTCCCAAGCCTTCTGGGGGGACCCTCAGGGCCCCACTCCAATTTTGTTTCATTGCAAGGCAGTTCCTTTCGGGGAGTGAGGGAGGGGGCTGTCTGCCTACACAGGTGTTAGCCCTCACCTGCATGGCCTGCTGGAACAGGAAGGGCCGGGCCTGCACCCTGTGCTGGATGCCCTGCAGCTCTGCCTGGTACTCAGCAAAACGCTGTCGCTCCTTGCGCCTGTAAGAAAGGTCCTCTGGGTAGCTGCCCATGGACACACCCCAGGCCAGAGGCTGCTGGTTCTCACTGGAGCCTATTAATATAACGGTTCCTCCTGACGCTTACAAAACTATTCCATTCCCATTCTGGCCCTGTATTTCGTGGGTGGGATTATTAGGGTGGGACTTATTTGCCCCATTTTGCTGATGGCTCAGGAAGGTCACCTGAACTTGTCCAAGGTTGTAGGATTGAGCACCTGTCCCAAGTTTAGGTTGTGCATCCGGGGCTTGCCCTACCTTCTGGAGGGAACCAGTTCTGGCTTCTGAGCTCTTTTTGCACAGCCCCCCCCCCCCCCCGCTTCTCCCCCTCTTGCAGGTCAGGAAATGACGAAGAGTATTGTGCACAAAGGGGCATCTCCCAGAGCTGGTGTCTAACATTTGGGAAGCCGAGCAGTAGAACTGCCTGAACTCAGAGCTAATCTGGGCTACAGAGTAAGCTCCAGGCCAGTCTGGATTGCAGAGTGCGATTCTATCAAAAACAAAAAAGATCTGGGCTGCACGAGAGAAAAACTTACTGTTTACAAAAATCAGCCTGAGAATGTTAAGATGGCGCAGCAGGTCATTGTGCTCACCACACTTAGGGCTGGCAGCTTTCGTTCAAGCTCCAGAGTTGTCCTCTAACTGCCCTATCTGTGCTTTGACAAGAGCTCCTTTTCCTTCCGCGTGACCCACAACCCCGTAATTCCAGCATTCGTCAGGCAGAAGTGTTGGGATAAATTTATGAACACTGTATGAAAATGTGTCTGTGCCTAAGGCACTTCTGATTGGTTTAATGAAGAGCGGAGTGGCCAATAGTTAGGCAGGACTTCTAGGCAGAGATAGGAACTCTGGGACAGAATCTGAGGTGGGAGAGTCACAAGTCAGATGCAGAGCAAGTTGGACATACAGTACTGAGGAGAGGTGAGGAGCCACCTGGCAGAATGTAGATGAATACAAATGAGTTAATTTAAGTTTTAAGAACTAGTTGGGAACAAGCTTAAGCTAAGGCCAAGCTTTCATAATTAGTAAGAAGTCTCTGTCTTCAGGAGCTGGTGGTTCAAAGAAAGACCTGCTACACAGGAGTAGGAAGATATGAAATTCTGTCTGCTACATAGTTCTAGACCAACCTGGGCTAGCTGAGACTACAAGTCTGCTCCTCCAGCCCAGTGTTAACACTGCCTCTGACCTCACTCCTCCGAGGACTAGACATCTGTCAGTTAGTGCACATAGGACGTGCCCAGCATGGAGTGGCAGAATCCACAGATGGGATGAGAGGGATAAGCAGATAAGGCTTGAAACTCGTGCTAGACTCTCAGGTATGTACGTCAGACACCCAGGGAAGGCCCTCCCGTGCTAGGCCAGAGAAGGAAGCTTCCTCACTGGAGGACGACAAAACAAAACAACATCCGCTAGGAAAACCATGCCAGGACCACAAGCTCCAACTAAGAAGAACCTTCACCAATAAGAAGAGACTTTGAGAGGTTACAAGTGTGAAGGCATTAGGACTCTGCCTTTTGCTTGATGTCCTTTGTGCTGTTGTTCTTGTATAGTTTGGGGTTTTGTTTTTTGAGACAGGACCTCACTATGTAAACCAGGCTAACCTGGAACTCATTCCCAAGAGCTGGGACTAAAGGTATGTGCCTCTGTGGCGGCCATCTTCCTTTTTTTAAGATAGGGTCTCTCACGATGCTGGAACTCACCACCTAGGCTAGACTGGGGGTGGTCAGCAAGCCTCCGTGCCAAGCACTGAGGCTGTAGGGCCACACAGCTGCACCTGGGTTCACTTTGTTATATTTTTAATTTAAAAAAACATGAATGCTAAGGATTCAGCCCGGGCCTCATGCAGTAAGCACCTTGCTGGCTAAGCCGTCCCCCAGGCTTCTACTCATTCAGGTTCTAGAGACTGGATTGCGCTTTGTAGTCTAGACTAACCTGAAGCACAATCCTCCTGTCTCAGCCTCCCAAATGCTAGAAGTACAAATAATAATAATAATTAAAAAATGAAATTGACACAAGAAGACGGACTCAGCTTAGGTGACCTGAGCCCTGCCAAGTCCTTGGTGCCGTGCTGCAGCACCAGAACCCTCTTCCGACAGGAAAGCCAAAGAAAAGCAGGCCCGGAGAGGGCCCACAGGTGGTCAGGTCACGGGCTCAAACGACTGTACTCAGTCACGTTGTCTATGGCATGAGGTTGGGCCTTTGCAGGGACTCCCGTGTGTCCTGTCACTGAAGATCAAGCACTAAGGCACCCAGTGTAGCCAGGTAACTGGTAGCTCTAAAGCAAATGGCCCTAAGAGAGACAAACATGGACCCGCCTAGGAAGGAGAAAAAGACAGGATCTCCTGAGTAAATCAGGAGCACGCGGGGCAGAAGGGAGGGTAGAAGGGGAGAGGGGAGGAAAGAAGCGGAGTGGGGGAAAGTGTATAGTTCAATTAAAAACAATAAATAATTTTTTTTTAAAAAAAGAAAGTCCCCAAAGAGAGAGGGGCACTATTAGGAGGGGTGGCCTTGTTGGGTAGGTATGGTCTTGGAGGAAGTACATCACTATGGAGTCAGGCTTTGAGGTCTCATATATGCTCAAGCCATGCCCAATGAGACAGTGCACTTCCTGTTGCCTGCACAAGATATAGAACTGTCAGCTACTTCTCCAGACCTATGTCTGCCTACCTGCCGCCAAGTCCCGCCATGGCGATAATGGACTAAACCTTTGAATTGTAAGCCACCCTCTTAAATATTTTCCTTTATAAGAGTTGGCATAGCCTGGTCTACAAGAGCTAGTTCCAGGACAGGCTCCAAAACCACAGAGAAACCCTGTCTCGAAAAACCAAAAAAAAAAAAAAAAAAAAAAAAAAAATCCCCAAGACCATGAGGCCNAAAAAAAAAAAAAAAAAAAAAAAAAAAAAAAAGAGTTGCCATAGTCATGGTGTCTCTTCACAGCAATGCCAACCCTAAGACAGTAACCAAACAACTGCCAGGGCTTCCTTCAGGCCTCTGTAGCACTGTGTGGGTACTTGGCACTACCTAACTCATGGCCCATTAAGAGGAATGATTTGTGAAGTGGCTTCCTAGAAATATAGTCTAAGGTGGAGTGATACAAGCCTTAATCCCAGCACTCGGGCTCAGGAGGATTGCTACATATTCAAGGCCAGCTTGGTCTAGATAGTGAGTTCTAAGACAGCCTGGGCCTCCAGGCTACAGAAGAAAAAGAGCTAGGCAGAGCGGCACCTTTGATCCCTGGACTTAGGAGACAGGTGGAAGGATTTCTGTGACGGCCTGCGTGTGTACCTGCATGGCTCCCAGGCCCACCAGGGGTACATAAGAGACCCTATCTCAAAAAGGGGGCAGCGAAAGCATGGAAAGACCTTGAAGCTCATTATCCCAGCTGGCCATGCGTACTGTCTCCAGGAGGGGAGCCCCTGGGACCATTTATCACATAACTATCTCTAAAATCTTCAACATTTTAAATATATATATCTTATATGTATGAGTGTTTAGCCTGCATGTATATAAGTGTACCATATGTGTGCCTAGTCTTTGCAGAGGCCAGAAGACGGTGTTGGATTCCCTGGAACTGGAGTGACAGACAGTTGTGAGTTACCATGTGGGTGCTGGGAACTGAACCCAGGACCTTTGTAAGGGCAGCAGGCTCTTAACCACTGAGCCATCTCTCCAGCCACTCAACAATTTATTTTTGAGACAGGGTCTCCCTGGCTTTCCTATGATTCACTAGACCAGGCTGACCTCAAATCCCAGCAATCTACCTGCCTCTGCCTCCAGAGTGCTGGAATTAAAGGTGTGAGCCACCATGTCCAAACATCCTGGACTTTTATAAAGGAATGTCTGGCACCAAGAAACCAAAACATAAGACTTGAAATCATGACTGTGCACAGAATCTGAGAATCTAATATTTGAATCTAATCTATTCACCCACCTCTTCTCCTCAGCTTCTCCATTTGTAAAATGCAGCTGAGGGGCCTGGCCAGGCCGCTGTGGGGTCTCGCAGCCTGCCACCCAGCTCAGCCTCCCTGCCGTGCCCCAGCCAGGCCCTCCGAAGCCGGCCTCCTACCTCAGCTCCTCTAGTTTGCGCTGAGCGGTCAAGGCCCCTCGGCTCCCTCTGGGCGTGTAGGCTGCCAGACAGCGGGCCACCTTCTGCTGCACCTGGTGCTCCCGCGCCCTGCGCATCTCAGCCTGCTGCCGCTCTTCCAGCTGCTGCCGTTCCCAGGCCTGCAGCAGGTTTCTGGGAAGGAAAGGGAGAGGTCCAAGAGGCATCAGGAGATTCAAGGAAGGTCAGGGAAGCCTAGAGGAACACATAAGCCTTGGAGTGGGGAGGGGGCTGTATCCTGGGAAACAAATGGCATTAGTGATGGTAGCCAGGCTCCACGGAGCCTACAGCCAGCTTAAAGCCTTTCCCTCTTCTTCAGCAGAGAGATCCAGTTCTTTTCTTTGTTTATTGTTTTGTTTTTTCAAGGCACAGTTTCTCTCTGTAGCCCTGGCTGTTCTGAAACTTGCTTTGTAGATCAGACTGGCAGGCTGGACTCAATTTCAGAGATTTGCCAGCTTCTGCTCATGAGTGCTGGGATTAAAGGCGTGTGCCACCACCATCCAGCTTTAGATCCAGTTCTTAACTCTTGGCTCAGGCCTCCTGAGCACTGTAGAGCTCAGCGGAGGCTTCCTGGGCTGTGAAGAGCTCAGACCACAGCCTGGGACCCTTTCTGCATCGCTCCGTTACCTTGCCCAGCAGCTGTCTTTGAGAAGGGCAGGTCTCTAACCCTTTCCTCCACAGCAGTGAGGTTAGTCCCTAACAGCTCAAGGCACAGATGGATGGATAAATGTGTGGGAAAAAATAAAATTGTTGAAGGGATCAAGATGTGAACATGTGGGCAAAAAGTGTGGATAGCTGAACAGCAAGTAGACAAGCCTGGAATATTCTTCCCTAGATATTATGGACAGTTTGCTCTCATCAGTCTTGTCTGTAGTGAAATGTCATGGCTCCCAGAAAGACTTCCCCTTGGCCACTCTGCCTCCTTTCTAGGAATCTCCGTCTCTAGCTACATACTTCATTCTTTCATTTCTTATGTATCCCTGGCTGGCCTCAAACTCTTTCTATAGCTGAGAATGACCTTAAACTTCTGAACCTCATGCCTCCACCTCCAGAGTGTTGGGATTACAGGCTGTACCATCACCTGGGCTTTAAAGCTTTCTTAACAGAAGAAAGGACTGGAAATATCATGTGTCCCAATTTGATAAGAAACCATTAACTGCCAGGTGGTGGTGGGTCACACCTTTAATCCCAGCACTCGGGAGGCACAGACAGGAGGATCTCTAATCTGAAGCCAGCCTGGTCTACAGAGCAAGTTCTAGGACAGACAGGACTACACAGAGAAACCTTGTCTCAGAAAACCAAAATAAGAAAAAAAGAAAGGAAGGAAGAAAAGAAGAGAATGATCCTGCCTCAGAGTGGTAGGAGAGAACCAGGGAACCAGGTCCTGCCACTATCCACACATGCCAACACTCACACAAAATAAATTTAAAAACAGAAAATAAAAAAAAAGATTAAGCATTGTGATATACATTATGATAGAACACAGGAGGCTGAGGCAGGAGAATTACAGCGAGTTCAATGCCCATTGGAATACATAGCTAGTACCAGACATGGCAATTTGTGCCTAAATGGCAAGACTTCCTTCAAACAAAACATCTGACAAAAGAGCATCACTGTCAGCAGGGGTCTACAGTAGGTGGGTATATAAAAACAGTACAGGGGGTGGGAGTGTTAGAGCACTTGCTTCTCCTCCAGGGGCCCCCGCTCACAGCCATCCACAACACTCATTCACATGAAATAAATAAATCTTAGGGCTGGGGAGATTACGCAGTAGGTAACAGAAGAGGTAGGTTCAATTCCTAGCACCCACACGCTAGCTACTTAATAACCAACTTCAGTCCCAGAAGATCCAGTGCCCTCTTAGGCCTTCCTGTGCATGAAGCACATTCATGGTACATGCACCAGACATGTATGTGGTACACAGACATACATGCAGTCAAAACACCCACACACATAAAATAAAAATAAATTGTAGAGCACGATAAAAATCAATAAAATAAATGAAAATTAATTTAGAAATATTTTTTAAAAAATACTACAAAATCTTTGTGTTTTTTTTTTAAATTATTTAGCTTTCTTTTATGTGGATTGGTGTGATGGTATCAGATCCTGGAACTGGAGTTACAGACAGTTGTTAGCTGTTAGCTGTTATGTGGGTGCTGGGAATTAAACCCGGGTTCTTTGGAAGAACAGCCAGTGCTCTTAACCGCTGAGCCATCTCTCCAGCCCCTTAAAAATAATTTTTGTTTTATTTTTCTGGACAGAGTTTCTCTGTGTAGCTTTGGAGCCTGTCCTAGAACTCACTCTGTAGACCAGGCTGGCCTCGAACTCACAGAGATCCGCCTGCCTCTGCCTCCTGAGTGCTGGGATTAAAAGTGTGCGCTGCTACCACCTGGCACTAAAGAATAATTTTTAAAAATATTTTTTAAGATTTATTTATTATGTATAGTGTGTTCTGCCTTCATGTATGCTTACAGACCAGAAGAGGCCACCAGAGATCATTACAAATGGTTGTCAGCCATGTGGTTGCTGGGAATTGAACTGCTGAGTCATCTCATCAGCCATAAAAAATAATTCTTAAAAAAGTATAAAAAACAAACCAGCCAGGTGTGATGGCACACACTTTAATCTCAGCACTTGAGAGACAGAGTCTGAAGCCAGTGTGGTCTACAGAGTGAGTTCCAGGACAGCCAGGGCTACACAGAGAAACAAATCTATCCTACAATATAGTGGTTATGATTTTTCACAAGATTTACGGTGGATTTGAAAATCGCTAAGAGATTAAATTTTAAGTGTTCATTTTAGAAAATATGTATGCTAATACACATTTTAATTAGTTTGATGTAGCCATACATACACATAATTTTAAACTAATGAAGAGTAAATCTGTAAGAAAGGGTTATTAGGGTACTCTGAGACTCTGATGACCAAGGGTGGTGGTGCAGATCTGTAATCCCAGCACCGAGACAAAGGCAGAAGGATCCAGAAGGATCAGAAATTCAAGGTAGCTCCAGCTGCATGATAAATTCAAGGCCAGCCTGAGCTACATGAGACTGGGCTTCAATACCTCCTCTCATCAGAAAAAAAAAATGCTGATAATATGAATTTGAATTTTCCCCAGCCTCACATGCCACTTCTTCTTTTTTCCAGAACGAGTTTGGATATTTATTTAGTTATAGAGGGGAAGGGGAGAAGGGGGAAGAGCAGAGAGGCAGAGAGAGAGAGAGAGAGAGAGAGAGAGAGAGAGAGAGAGAGAGAGAGAAACAGAGGGACCTCACATGCCACTTCTAATCGGTCCCCAAGTCAGGGTCTAAGAATCTCAGGGCTGGGCCAGCAAGATGGCTCAGGTCAGGAACTTGCTGCCAATCCTGACAACGTAAATTCAATCCCCCAGGCTCACATGGTGGAAGGAGAGAACTAAGTCCCTCAAGTTATCTTCTGACCTCCATATGCCTGCATATGTAGACAACAGACAAAATATATATTTTTTTTTAGATTTCATGACTGATGATATAGCTCAATAGTAGAGCCTAGCATTCTTGAGACCCCACCCCTCAACACACACAAACTAGGTTTCTATAGAACTCTGGAGTGGGTCCCCTTCTCTCCATCCACACCGGCATATGGTTCAGGCCCTCATCATCCCTTGGCCAACAGTTGCCTCCAGGCTTCTCTGAGCCAGTAGTCTCTTGTTCTAGCCCAAGTGTAGCAACTGGAACTAAACACATTGGCCATCCATTTTCTTTTGTAGACCTTGGACTTCAGACTGGCCCAAGTCTTCCCTCCCTCCTGTCCTGAGGACTCACAAGAAGACAATATATGTTACATCAATAGGCTGAAGGATGGGGCTGGAGAGATGGCCCAGAGGTTAAGAGCACTGGCTGCTTTTCCAGAAGTCCTGAGTTCAATTCCCAGCAACCACATGGTGGCTCACAACCATCTGTAATAAGATCTAGTGCCCTCTTCTGACCCGCAGGCAGAACACTGTATATATAATAAATAAATCTTTTTTTAAAAAAAAATATAGGCTATGGGGGGGGGGGCTGGAGAGATGGCTCAGCCGTTAAGAGCATTGCCTGCTCTTCCAAAGGTCCTGAGTTCAATTCCCAGCAACCACATGGTGGCTCACAACCATCTGCAATGAGGTCTGGTGCCCTCTTCTGGCCTTCAGGCATACATGCAGACAGAATATTGTATACATAATAAATAAATTAAAAAAATATAGGCTGTCGGATGGATAGGAGAAAAGAAAGGATGAAAAGTGGCGTGTGTCAATGCAGTAGGACAAGGAGACAGATGGACATTATCAAGAGAAGGCTGGGTGGATGATCAGGAAACCTGGTGAATGGGTGAACTAGGAAGAGACTCACATGTAAAACTGGTCTCTTCCTACCCTCGCCCTCAGTTCTTGCCCAACTTCCTCTTTTCCCTCACCTGGTGGCCTCCTGCCGTTTATGGAAGGTGCGATTGGGGAAGTTGGTAGATAAGTAACTTTCATCATCTCCCAAGATAGGGGTCCTCCTACCCCTGGTAGAGGCCTGGACGGCTGCCCGCAATGCGTTCCAGGTCTGCTTTTGAGGACCTGTGAATGGGGAAATCAAATCAAGATCACGTCGTCTCCTGGGTCACTGGGAGTCCTATCCAACAACCAGACAATCCCTAGCTCACCCCAGCCTCTACTACTTATCCCTACCACCACCCCAACCTTCCGAGTGCAGGTCTCCCACAGCTTCCGGCACCTCAAGCCTCCTGGCTGCGCTCACCACAATCCAATTCCTCCTGTAACTGCCGGTGTAGCCGCTCTAGGTCCCAGGGCCCCCTCAGCTCCTTGGCCCTTGACTTCTCCTTCTGCAGCTTTCGGAGGCTGTTGGAGCTGGAGCTGCTTCCCTGGCTGTGGCCCTGCAGCTCCCCTTCCGATGCCTTTTCTCCAAAATTCCTCCCCTTATTATGAGAGCTGCCTTTCCTCCTGTGGGGGGCGCTGTGTTCCTCCTCCTCCTCTGTCACCTCTGAGATCCACTCCTCCTCCGAGATCAAGCCCCGCCCCGGGAGCTGGGGCAGTTCCCCAGGGCTCAGAATCTTCTCTGTCTCCTCTGCATCCTGGCCTTCGACCTCCGAGGCATCCTCACACTCTGACCCTGACCCTTTTCCTGGTGGCCAGAAGCCACCCTGGCTGCTTCGCTCCAGCCCTTGGCTCTCTGCTTTGCCAAGAGGGGGGGTATTGCTGCCCCAGGCCCCCATCTGATTTCTCCTCTCCAGGTTTTGTACTTCTGTCTTCTGGCAGAAGCCAAGGTCTTCTGAGAGGCTGCTTACTGACTTGCGCCTGGACTTGAGCTGGAGCCCAGCTGGGGACAAAAGCGGGGCTCGGTGGCCGTGGGCCACGCAGGAGCTTGGCTGAAGCAGAGCCTGACCATCTATGATGAAGCTCTCCCAGGCCCACTGGAAAGGAAAGGAAGGTTTCCGAGCAGGTGAACTGAACAGACTGAAGGAGAGGACAGAAGTCAGTGAGGGTCCCCAGTCCATCCACACACACACCCACCCCCACACACACCCACCCCAGTCCATCCCCAGTCACTTACTCTTCGGCCTCCACTGAGCTTTGTCCTTTCTTGTTCCGCCTCCGGGTCTTGCGTTCTTTCTTTGTCCTCTGCCCTGCACTCTGAGACCTCTGCAGCTGGCAGCTCTGGCTCTGAAGGCTATCGCCACTTCCAAGACTTGCCTGGACAGGACCGGGGAGAGGACAGCTTCTGTACCACTCTGCACCTCTCCAGGGGCTTCCCCCTTTCCATGCTGTCCCTAAAACTCACTGCCTCTTCTGTTATAATAGCAAAAGCTGGGGCTGGAGAGATGGCTCAGCGGTTAAGAGCACTGACTGTTCTTCCAAAGGACCTGAGTTCAATTCCCAGAAACCACATGGTGGCTCACAACCATCTGTAATGAGATCTGGCGCCTTCTGCCCTGCAGGCATACATGGAGGCAGACTTTCTATACATAATAAATAAATAAATAAAATCTTTAAAAAAAATAGCAAAAGCTGCAGACAAAGCTGGGGAGGTAACTCACAAGGTAAAGGCAATTGTCACTAAGCCTGACAACCTGAGTTTGATCCCTGAGACCCATGTGATAGGAGAGAACCAACACCTACATGTTGTTCTCTGACCTCCACTTGCACACACACACACGCACGTGCATGCAAATAAAATAAAAAGCTGTAGATGCTTAGGCACCAGACCTTTAGGGAGTTACACTTTTGACCTTCCCAAAAACACCCAAGGAAGTGGGGCTTGTTATTACCCATTTGCAGGCAGAGTTAGGCTCTTGCATTTCCAAGAGGAGAGGCCACCTGACTGGTGAGTGGTGGGGCTGGGACCAATACATGTTGTCACTGTTTCCAAATCCCAAATTTGTCACCATTGAACTCTTGTGAAAGAAGTGTCCAAATGTTCCCAGCACACGGAGATAATAATTGCCCTGACTTAATTATTGTATACATAGGGTTATCATACTGATCCCCATCAATAGATCTTATATTGCTGTTGTTAGTTTTTGCTATTTTGTTGAGATAGGAGCTAAGGATGGTCTCAAACTCACTGTGTAGCTAAGGATAGCTTTTGTTTTGTTTTGTTTTGTTGTTTGAGACAGTTTCTCTCCTGTCCTACCCTGGCTGTCCTGGAACTCGCTCTGTAGACCAGGCTAACCTCGCACTCACAGCGATCTACCTGCCTCTGTCTCCTGAGTGCGGGCATTAGCAGGCATGCGCCACCCCTGCATGGCGGAGGGTAACTCTGACTACTGCTTCTCGGGCCTTCACCTCCCAAGTGCTGGAATGACAGGCTTAGGCTGCACCAGCATGTCTTCTTTAAATCTAGGAAACTGTCTGGGTGTGATGACACATGCCTGTGACCCCGGATACCAGGAAACTGAGATGGGAGGCTTGTGAGGTCTAGGACAGCCCAGATAATTTGGTGGGAGCCCACCAAACAAACAAATCCTCCACCACCACCTCCCAAACAAAACAGCAACAGCCAAGGCTAGCATTCTTTTGGCTGTCACACAGGGCTCTGGACTTAGTGCAACAAAAGTGGAAGAAAGTGATTTATTTCCTAAAAGCCCTTTCTGCCCTGCCATGTTCCCAAATTGCTCCATCTGTCTGTCCTCTGTGTACCTGCCCCAGGCTTTCCTAACTGTTACCAGAATCTTAATTCTAGTCTTATGTTTCCTTGAGACCTCAGGCAGCCCTAGCTTCTCTTGGCCGAAGATGCTGCTGAGCAGTTGGAAGTTCCCCAGCTGGGCCTGCCTCCCTCACCTGCTCCTCCGGAGAGATGCTTGATAGAAGTTTGAACAACCCTGTGGCCGTCCCTGGAGCCAAGGGCTCTGTGCTCTGCTTTGGTCTCTCCGATATGGTCCTGGCCAGCAGTTGGACAGGGGTTAGCATATTGGTACCCTGCCGTCTCCCACGTCCATCTGCCAGCTCTGGAACTGCCCTCTCTGCCATCTCCATGACAACCAGGCTATGACCAGTCTGAATGACTCTAGCAAGAGTACTAGGTAGGGGTCAGCCAGGACGTATGATGCTGACTTCCTTCCAGAGATGGTGTTCAACAGGCCCAGGACTGCACTCTGCCTCTGCCTCCTGGACTGGTGTAGGCTCCCTACCTCTTTAGGCCTATGTTTGCCTATCTGTTGTGAAAGGAACATCAGAACTTGTCATCTCAAAGGGCCCTCAAGTCCTGTGAAGATGTCCACACAGTTGATACGTGAGGCATGTCATGTTCCTCAGCCTGCCTTCAGCTTGGTTGAGCCTCATCAGTGATGTGGGATTCCCCTCTGTATGCAGTGAATATGTTTTAATACCATTGGTTAATAAAGAAGCGGCCTCAGCCTATGGCAGGACAGAATAAAGCCAGGTGGGAAATCCAAACAGATATATAGAGAGAGTAGATGGAGTCAGGGAGATGCCACGTAGCTGCCAAAGGAGAGAGACGCCGCCAGAGCCTTTCTGGTAAGCCACAGCCTTGTGGCGATACACAGATTAATGGAAATGGGTTAATTTAAGACATAAGAGCTAGAGGACACAGTCAACAAGAAAAAAACAACAGCCTACAGAATGGGAAAAGATTTTCACTAACCCCACATCAGACAGAGGTCTGATCTCCAAAATATACAAAGAACTCAAGAAATTGGACACCAAAAGAACACATAATCCAATAAAAAAAAATGGAGTATAGACCTAAACAGAGAACTCTCAACAGAGGAATCTAAAATGGATGAAAGACACTTAAGGAAACGTTCAACATCCTTAGTCATCAGAGAAATGCAAATCAAAACAACTCTGAGATTCCATCTTACACCTGTAAGAATGGCCAAGATCAAAAACATTGATGACAACTTATGCTGAAGAGGTTGTGGGGAAAAGGGAACACTTCTGCATTGCTGGTGGGAATGCAGGCTGGTACAACCCCTTTGGATGTCAGTGTGGCGATTTCTCAGAAAATTAGGAAACAACCTTCTTCAAGACTCAGTAATACCACTTTTGGGTATATATCCAAAGGATGCTCAATCGTGCCACAAGGACATGTGCTCAACTATGTTCATAGCAGTTTTGTTTGTCATAGCCAGAACCTGGAAACAACCTAAATGCCTCTCAACTGAAGAATGGATAAGGAAAATGCGGTACATTTACACACAGAGTACTACACAGCAGAAAAAAATGATGACAGCTTGAATTTTGCAGAAAAATGGATGGATCTAGAAAACATTATTTTGAGTGAGGTAACCCAGACACAGAAAGACAATCATCACATGTACTCACTCATAGGTGGTTTAAACATAAAACGAGGAAAACCAGCCTACAAACCACAATCCCAGAGAACTTAGACAACAGTGAGGACACTAAGATTATTTGGGTCTGGGCAGCCGAGAAATGAATGAACGGTCTCCATTTACACATGAGATCTTATACAATTACTCTGTTCTCCAAGCCTCTGGCTGAGCCAGTCCACTGGATAGCATGCCCTCCAGAGGCAGCAAGTAAGTCAGAGCTGAGAATGGCTGAGCTTTGATCTTAGATTTTCTGGGTGTGCCTGTGTGTATATGTACTTTGCTTTTGTTTTGATTTTTCTATGGATTTTGTTGTTTTGTTTATGTTTATTTTATCTTAGGCAGTGTCTCACATGTAGCCCTAGCTGGTTAAAAGTCACTATGTAGACCAGGCTCTCCTTGAACACACAAAGTTCTGCCTGCCTCTGCTTCAATAGCACTGGGATTAAAATCATGTGCTACCATGCCCTCAAGTTCTCAGCTTTCTCTATGTGGATGCTGGGAATCTAACTCAGGTTCTTATGACTGGGTAGCCACTGAGGCACCACTGCAGCTTCATCCCCCTTTTTATTTGGTTTTAGGATTGGAACACAAAGCCTCATGAATCCTAAGTGCACACTCAGCCCTGAGCACCGCCACAGCCCTCCCACTGAGTGCACACTCACTCAGCCCTGAGCACAGCCACAGTCCTCCCACTGAGTGCACACTCAGCCCTGAGCACAGCCACAGCCCTACCACTGAGTGCACACTCACTCAGCCCTGAGCACAGCCACAGCCCTCCCACTGAGGGCACACTCAGCCCTGAGCACAGCCACAGCCCTCCCACTGAGTTTTTTGTCTTTTTCTTACTGTTTTGTAGGAGATTTTTGTTTGTTTCTTTAAGCAGTGTCCCGTATAGCCCAGGCTGGCCTCATGCTCTATGTGTAGCTGAGGATAGCTTTGAACTTGTTCTTCCCGCTCCCTTCCTGAGTGCTGAGATTACCAGCCGGCATCGCGGAGTCCGGCCAGTATCGCCATGTCTGGGTGGAGTCTTAGCCTATAACCTTCTTCATTGGTTTTGGAACAATTGAAGTTTGTATTATTTTGTGCCCAGTACTCTAGAAGAGCAGTCAGTGTTCTTATCCTCTGAGCCGTCTCTTCAGTCCTGTCAATGTGACCCACATTTTGCCCCTTTTGAAGACCCTGTCCTTGTCAGAAATATAAACAAATTAAAGTTGAACTTTTCTTCCTTTCCTTTTCCTTCCTTCCTTCCTCCCAGAAAGAGTCTCATATCATCCTGGCTAGCTTTGAACTACTTACACCGACAATGATAAACTTGAACTTCTGATCACCTTGCCTCTACCTCTCTGGCTCCAGCTTACAGATGTGCATGCACCACAACGCCTCATTTATTCGGTGCTGAACATTGAACCCACAGTTTTATACATTCTAGGCAAACATCCTACCTACTGAAACATGCCCCCAGCTCTAAGGGTAGATTTATTTATTTTTATATGATTGTGTATGTAGGGCGGGGTGTGTGCCCCGGGACACACGTAAACATAGAGGACTTACAGAAGCAGTCTCTCTCCCCTTCCACCGTGCAGGTCTGGCAGTTAAACTTAGATCATCAGGTTTGGTGGCAAACACCTTTGCCTGCTGAGTCATTTTGCCAGTCCCCCGTGGTGGATTTTGAGGGAGTAAGTTGGTAACAACATTGATTTGGAAAGAAATGGTATCCTGCTGAGATCCTAGGCCTGCCCTGCACTAGTGAACCGTTGTCTCCGTTTTCTTCCTCCTCCTCCTCCTCCTCCTCCTCCTCCTCCTCCTCCTCCTCCTCCTCCTCCTCCTCTTCCTCCTCCTCCTCCTCCTCTTTTTTTTAAATGATTGTCCCAGACAGGGTTTCTCTGTGTAGCCCTGACTGGCCCAGAACTCACTCTGTAGACCAGGCTGGTCTTGAACTCAGAGATCTGCCTGCCTCTGTGGAGTGCTGGGCTAATGGTATGTGTCACATGCCCTGCTGAATTGTCTGCTAATTCCAGATCCGGTACTGAATGCTTCAAGGAGACTCAAGAGGCTGCTGCTGTGGTGGTGGCCCAGGGGGTCAGCAGTGCAGGTGACCTCCGTGGAGGATGGGCCTAGCAGTGAGAACTGACTGGCTCTAGGGTGAAAATGAATGGACCCTGCCAAGGGAGCTCAATAGGATGGGTCTGTGTGTGCCTCCAGGTGGAAGAAAAGTGGAGCAGTCAAAGCAGAGGCATTGCCCTTTGCTGGAGCTGATCTGTAAAGGTGGCCAGAAATCCAGGCAGTACCCGCAGACAGGAGCAGCATTTTCTATTTTTCACTTTTGATATGTGTCTGGTTATTTTGTCTGAATGTACGTTTGTGTACCATGTGCCCAGGGAGGCCAGAGAGGGTACTGGATTGCTGACACTGAAGTTATGGAGGGTCAGGAGCCACCGTGTGGGCAACAGACACTGAACCCAGGCCCTCGGCCAGAGCAGTGCATTCTGCTGGAATAGCTTTCCTCCACCGTCTGGAGCGGCTACTGCCAACTCCCTACCAGTTTCCTGCTTCTATCCCTGTGCCCCACAACAACGGGATAGCAGAATGGGATGGGGGGGTAAGAACAGGGAAGCCTGGCTTTCCCACTCCTCGGGAAAAGGGGTTCCAGCACCAGGAGAGAAGCAACTGTTCGGAGAGGTGAAACACCAAATACAAGTGAGTCAAGCCCAGAGATCTGACTACTCATAACACCAGCCATTTCTTTCCAGCCATTCATTCACTTATTCTGTCTACTAATTATTATCATGTGTGAGTGATAGGGGAGCTTCTGACAGAGCCTGTGTGTGGAGGTCAGAAGACAACTTTGTGGAGCCTCCTCTCGCTTGTCACCTTTATGTGGCTTCTGGGGATCCTGCTCAGGTCGCCACACTGTCACAGAAAGATTCTACCCGTTGAGTCATCTCCTAGCCCCTATGTTGTGGTTTAGGTGGTCACCTCTACCATCTTATATAAACGGAGACTGCTCTTTTGTTCCTGAATAATCACAGAAACTATATTAGTCACAACACTGACCTATAAGCTCAGAAGCTCGGGGTGTTTTTGTTTTTGTTTTGTTTTCTTGAGACAGGGTTTCTCTGTAGCTTTGGAGCCTGTCCTAGAACTAGTTCTTGTAGACCAGGCTGGCCTTGAATTCACAAAGATCTGCCTGCCTCTGCCTCCTGAGTTCTGGGATTAAAGGTGTGTGCCACCACCGCCTGGCTTAGCTCAGACTTCTTATTAACTAGATCTTACACCTTAAATTAACAAATTTCTATTAATCTGTGGTATTGCCATGAGGCTGTGGTCTATTGGGTAAGGTTCTTTTCTGGCGTCTTCTTGGGCAACTATATGGTGTCTCTTTGACTCCACCTACTCTCTCTATATATCTCTTTCAGCTTGGCTATATTCTGCCCTGCCATAGGCCAAAGCAGCTTCTTTATTAACCAATGGTAATACAACATATTCACAGCATACAGAGTGGAATCCCTCATCAGTCTTACTCTGGAGCCAGACTAGCCTCAAATTTTCTTAAAGGTGTAAGCCTCCACACCAGGCTAGCAGAGATTTTTTTTTTTTTTTAGTGACTTCAGGTGACCACAAGACTAACTGCTAAGGGAAGTTAAGTGGGAGATTCAGGAAAGACACTTGTTAGGGAGACAATTAGACACTTGAGCTGAGAGAAGGGATGGAACAGAAGTCAGAATACTTAGGGGTCAGGAGAGGTCAGGGAGATATGGCATGGAGACCAACAGATTAAAGTGGTCAGCAAGAACAAAGATTGTGATTGGGTGAGGTGCCACACACCTTTAATCCTGGCACTTGGGGGCAGAGGTGGGCAGATCTCCTTTATAAGTTCAAGGCCGGCCTGGTCTATATAGTGAATTCTAGAACACTCAGAGACTCTGTCTCAGAGACAAACAACCAAAAAAAAAAAAAAAAAAAAAAAAAAGCAGCAACAACAACCAAAAAAAAAAAAAAAAAAAAAAAAAAAAAAAGAGTGAAGATTGCTGAGTAAGAGAGAGCTCCCAGCCAGAGCTACAGAGAGATTAACCACAGCAAGGCCAAGGATTAGCAGGGAGCTTGGCAGCCTGCCTTGGTCCCTAGACTCATTCTCTAAAGAGGCAGGAGGAGGACGCATCACAGATTTCTGCAAGGCAGACTAGGGATATGGCTGGGGCGGCTGAACAGCTCGGTTGGTAAGGGTGCTTGACCTGATTTTGATTCCTGCATGGAAGACAAAGGACCCACATGGTAGACGAGGACAGATGCATGCTCCTCTGTTTTCTGAGTGCACCATGACATGTATCCTGCCTGCCTTCCTTTTGGTGGCACTAGGGTGTTGTAGGACATTATCTGTAAGGAATATAAAGAAACGTCTCCTCATCCCAGACAGAGAACCAACACTAGTATGGATTTGGGTGAGGGGTTACTTACTGGAGCAGAAATGAGTCAGGGACGGCTGCATTAACAGAACCCACCCCAGCATGGGAGGCCACTCAAGGAAGCTGCAAACCGGAGCTCACTGCACAGCCTGCAGGCAGCTCACATGTTAGAAAACTGCTCTTTCAGGTAACTCGGGTGCTTTCAAACAGGGTCTCACTATGTAGCCATGTCTGGCCTGGAACTTGTTATATAGACCAGGCTGGAACTCACAGATCCGTGTGCCTCTGCCTCTGGAGTGCTGGTTAAAGGCACGCATCAGGCAAAAATGTAATTCTTAACCAGAAGGGAAGGCATCTGTTCCTAAAACAAGCCCAGAGAGTAGCAATCTCCACAAAACAATTCTGCTAAGTCCCTGTCAAAATCTCAGCTGACAGGCTGGTGGGATGACTCAGCCATTAAAGGCTCTTGCAGACAAGCCTGCTGACGCAGACTCCATCCTGGGAACCCACAGGGTAGCAGAGACCTGTACATGCTGCACCACACCCCACACATGAAATACATAAGGTTTTATAAATCAATACCTCAGCTGTCTTTCCAGGTCTTGATAAGCTGACTTTAAAATTCACATGGAAACCCAAAGGACTCAGGATAGCCAGTCTTGAAACAAAACCAACAACATATCAGATGACATATTTTGCATTTTCTGATCTTAAAGTCTTGATAAAAACTTCATCCAACAGCCAGGCAGTGGTGGCACACGCCTTTAATTCCAGCACTCAGGAGAGGCAGAGGCAGGTGAATCTCTGTGAGTTTTCAAGGCCAACCTGGTCTATAGGTCGAGTTCCAGGAGATCCAGGACTACACAGAGAAAAAGTGAGGGCGGTGGTGGCACACATCTTTAATACCAGCACTTGGGAGGTGGAGACGAGACAGGTAGATCTCTGTGAGTTCGAGGCTAGCCTGGTCTACAGAGCTAGTCCCAGGGCAACTAGGGCTGTTATACAGAGAAACCCTGTCTTGAAAAAAAAAAAATCTTACCTTTTCAAGTTGTGCCCAAGCCTTGTGCAGAATGCTAGGTCACCCTCTTCCTGCCCTAGGCACCCCCGCTCCTCCCTATGTCCCCACAATGTGAGTCGCCATCTGACTTGCTATTCCTGGACGCCGTCAGCTGCCAGCTGTCTCTCCTCTTCAAACTCCAAGAACATTTTGTTTGCAGAATTACCACCATTTAAAACACTCCATCTGGCACAGATAGGCTCTTAGGTTCTTTTTTTTAATTATTGATATTTATTGAGCTCTACATTTTTCTCTGTTCCTCTCCCCTCCCCGCTTCAGCCCTCCACCAGGGTCCCCATGCTCCCAATTTACTTAGAAGATCTTGTCTTTTTCTACTTCCCCATGTAGATTATGTCTATGTAAGTCTCTCTTAGTGTCCTCACTGTTGTCTAAGTTCTCTGGGATTGTGGTTTGTAGGCTGGTTTTCCTCGTTTTATGTTTAAACCACCTATGAGTGAGTACATGTGATGATTGTCTTTCTGTGTCTGGGTTACCTCACTCAAAATAATGTTTTCTAGATCCATCCATTTTCCTGCAAAATTCAAGCTTTCATAATTTTTTTCTGCTGTGTAGTACTCCATTGTGTAAATATACCAATTTTCCTTATCCATTCTTCAGTCGAGGGGCATTTAGGTTGTTTCCAGGTTCTGGCTATGACAAACAAAACTGCTATGAACATAGTTGAGCACATGTCCTTGTGGCACGATTGAGCATCCTTTGGATATATACCCAAAAGTGGTATTACTGGGTCCTGAGGAAGGTTGTTTCCTAATTTTCTGAGAAATCGCCACACTGACATCCAAAGGGGTTGTACCAGCTTGCATTCCCACCAGCAATGCAGAAGTGTTCCCTTTTCCCCACAACCTCTTCAGCATAAGTTGTCATCAATGTTTTTGATCTTGGCCATTCTTACAGGTGTAAGATGGAATCTCAGAGTTGTTTTGATTTGCATTTCTCTGATGACTAAGGATGTTGAACGTTTCCTTAAGTGTCTTTCATCCATTTTAGATTCCTCTGTTGAGAGTTCTCTGTTTAGGTCTATACTCCATTTTTTTTTATTGGATTATGTGTTCTTTTGGTGTCCAATTTCTTGAGTTCTTTGTATATTTTGGAGATCAGACCTCTGTCTGATGTGGGGTTAGTGAAGATCTTTTCTCATTCTGTAGGCTGTCGTTTTGTCTTGTTGACCCTGTCCTTTGCTTTATAGAAGCTTTTCAGTTTC